TCATTTGCCAGCATGTGCAAGTTCAGGGTTGCCACTTACACAACCCTGAAAGTGAGTGCCTCCTTAAATGGGGGACCCTAGGCATTTGGCTTATCTCACCCCTGTTGAAAGACACAAATGTGGGAAAGGCATTTCAAGCAGAGGGAAGAGCAAGTGCAAAAGCCCAGAGGCTGAGAAACTTCGTGTTTCAGGAACAGAAACCTGGTTCTATGACTGGAGTGGAGTGGAGAAACCCAATGGAAACAGGGAAGCAGAGCCACTAAAAGAGACAGGAAAAAAACTTTCTGAAAGTTTTGAGAGTTGATCATGTTTATATATATATATATATATATATATGTGTGTGTGTGTGTGTGTGTGTGTGTGTTTTAAAGTATCTGAATAGTTGCCATGGGAAAAAATGGGCTTTCAATTATTTTTGTCACACTGATTTAGAATTGCCTTTGTAACCCTCATGTATTAGGAGTCGAGATAGGGGGGATCAATTACTTTTTCAGTGCTTTGGGGCTTGAAAGTCATGCTTCTCAATCATGGCTGCACATTACAATCCCCTGGGAGGGCCTCCCTGGTGATGCAAGGGGCTAAGACGCAACCTAGGAAGCTATTTTTAGCCGCTGCAGCATGAGTTCAATCCCCAGCCTGGGAGCTACCCACATGGCGTAGCAGACCTCTCCTGACTCATCCACTGCTCCCCTCAGCAGTGTATTTCGGTCACTCTGCCTGTTCTGTTCCCCACTCTGTCCCTGGTGAGTCCTCTCACCCTCTGCACCTCTGGCCTGTACCCCAGCTCTTGTATGCATAAATAAATAAATCTTAAAAAAAGAAAAAAGAATCCCCTGGCAGAAACTGAAGAAATACCAGTGCCTGGGCTGATGCAGCGATTCTGATTTAATCAGTCTGGGGTGCAGTCTAGCCATGGGGATTTGACTGTGAAGACAAGATGAGAATGACCTGGGGGTCCAGTTCTGGGTATAAGCCTCCCTGGGGATGTTTGAGATGTAGGAGAAACCAGCTTTTACAGACTTTTGTAGGCTCTTAGTAACAGGAGTCTGGATTTTATCCTAAGAATGGGGAGCCATTGATGGGTTTTTAAGCAGAAAGGTGACATGATCTGATTTTCATTTTAAGAAAATCATTTTGGCTGCAGCATGGTAAATCTCCTTAGGATAGATTCCCAGAAGTGGAATTTCTGGGGGAAGGTTATTAACAATTTTAAGTCTTTGGCTATATACTCTTAAACTGCTTTCTAGGAAGTTGCTGCCAAAATGACACTCACCCACCTTCTGTGTCCTCACACCACCCCTTTGCCAACATTGAGTGTTTTGGAGGGTTAATTATTTCTATGGGAAAAGTACAAAAACTGAAAAATAAGAGGCAATTGTTTGAGCAACCGGGCACAACCCCTGCCAGCTATTCTACCCCCCGCCCTTCATTGGTCAAATATTATCCAAATATCCACATGCTTCAGAGAAGTTTTAAATCTGATTTTTAGTTAACACTTATTGATTGCTTACTGCATGGTGGGCATTGTGCAAAGCACTTTACATGGGATATCTTTATGACTCCTCAATATCCTTAAGAGGTCAACACAGGACCTCCCCTGGTGGCGCAGCAGTTGAGCGCTGGGCTGCAAAGCTGCCTGCAGCCTCTGCAGCGCCGGTTTGATCCCTGGCCATTGGCAAGGGTCCCACATGGTGCGCAGACCTCTCCTACGGCCCGCTGCTCCCCTCAGCAGTGTACTTTGTCATTCTGCCTGTTCTGTTCCCCACTCTGTCTCTGGTGAATCCTCTTACCCTCCTGTGCTACTGACTGTACCCAGTGCTTGTATAAATAAATAAATAAATCTTTAAAAAAACAAAGAGGTCAACACGGCTGTTATCCATTTGATAAATGAGAATCAGGGCACTGTGGGAGTCAGGGATCTGCCTGAACAATCGCACCTTCTAGATGGAAGAATTAGAATTGGAACTCAGAGCCCTTTCTTGAACTATTCTTCGGTTGCTCTGTAATTTGGAAAGGTGAAAGGACTTTTCAGATTTTTCTCTCAGGTCTAAGGTTTTGGTGATTCTGCCATGAATCGTTTGGCATTGGAATAATTGACATAATTGTGTCACTGCACCATTGTGACGATTGACTATTCAAGGAAGTCAAAATGATTATTAACTGGCCACATCAGGTATGTGCCCATGGATGTAAGGATGGAAGGGGGCATCAACTCACCTGGAGCTATTCACATGGATTATAAAATGTAGAAGATCTGGGAAAAACAGTTCAGGGAAGATCAGAACTTACAACAAAGAAATGCTTTGAGAGATGGGGTGTTCCCAATCAGAAAACAGGACCCCTTGCAGGGTGGAGGGCAGAGAGAGGGGAGACTGAGCAAACAGGAATATTTCAGTCATTTCTTCTAATAGATTTACCTTTCTGATCACTACTCCCAAAGGAGGCAGGGGGATTGAGTCTTGATCTCTGTTCTGTCCCCAATCGCTTGCTTAGCTATTCAGTGAAGTTTGCTGTGTTTAATGAAAGAATAAACCATGATTAGGCTGTATGTACTTAAAGGTAAACACTAGAAAAAAGTGTTGATTATTGCTCATGTAATTAAACATTAATTACAGACAAACAAATATAAAAAATACCTTGTCACAGGAATAACAGTCTCCCAGAGAAGACCTTACTGCCTGAGGGAACCTTAATCTTGGGACTTTATGGGGGGGTGGGGACTTTTTCTCTTCAAATTGCAGGGAAGAGGAAATGATAAACAGGGAAGAAAGGTCATCCTTGTGGGACTTCTGACAAATGGCAGGACCCTTCTCATAGTTTCCCCTCAGCAAGATGGAGGTGGGCGTGTGTGTGTGTGTGTGTGTGTGTGTGTGTGTGTAGGGGGGACTTAGGTAAATTTCAGGGTGAAGTGTTGTACCAGTGGAATATATCCCCCCTAACTCAGGAATCTTTATTTTTTTTACACATGTGGGCACCCATGCTTGGGTCTGACCTAGTGGGAATTTCTGTGTTGTGTCAAATATTAGCTGGAGTTAGGCGAAGTTTCTTTTTCCCTGAATGGGGTGGGGAGGTAAGGGAGGTAAATTTTTTGAAAATCTAACTTTCCATCCTTTATTGCTGCCAGGATGGGACCTCCCTGGTGGCGCAAGGGGTTAAGATGCAGCCTATGAAGCTGTCCACTGCCTCTGCAGCATGAATTCAATCCCTGGCCTGCCAGGGAGCTACCCACATAGCTCAGCAGACCTCTCCTGTCTCGCCTGCTGCTCCCCTCAGCAGTGTATTTCAGTACATCTGCCCGTTCTGTTCCCCATTCTGTCTCTGGTGAATCCTCTCACCCCCCTCAACACCTCTGCCCTGTACCCCAGCTCTTGTATGCATAAATAAATAAATAAATCTTTAAAAAAAAAACTGTCAAGATGATGCCAGTGAGGGGTTGGCAGGTGTAAGCAAGGGCCCAACGTTGAAGAGGTATGTGTGTGTAAATAACCACCGTTTCCTAGTCTTTAAGTACTTTTGGTAACAGTTTTTAATTACACAAGCAATATAGCCTTTCTTCTTGCAACATGAATTAAAGCCTTCTGTACGAGATAAGGTTAAGATCCTGTTATCTGTTTGGTGGGCAACATGCTCACCTTTTCTCTAGATAACAGTGTCATATTTACATTGGATGCTTCAGTGAAGTCCTTGGTGTGGAAGCAGTCTGTCTAGGGGAAGAGGGCTCAGTGCTCCTGTGGCCAGACTCTGGGGAGGAGTGTGGGCAAGTGTCAGGGTGAGTTTCTTTTTTTTTTTAAAGATTTTTTTTTATTTATTTATGCATACAAGAACTGGGGTACAAGCCAGAGATGCGTGGGTGTGGGGGGTGGGGGGGGTGGGGTGGGGGGGGGTTAGAGAATTCCCAGAGACAGAGTGGAGAACAGAACAGGCAGACTGACTAGAATACACTGCTGAGGGTGTAACAGGGTAGTCCCCAGGAAAGGGGGAGGTTCTAGGTTTCCTGCTCCACTCAAAAGGAGGGTGGAGCTGAGCAGGGAGAGAAGAAGCTGCAGAGGACACTGAGGAAGGAAGGACACAGGATGGAGAGCCAGAAGGAGACTTGGACGAGGCACATGGAGCTGAGAGACACGTGAAGAAACTTCATTTGCCTTTCCGTCGTGGACTGAGTGAAACAGATGTGGGTGAGAGACCTGTGGGGAGAATAGCAATGGTGGTTTTTTCCCTTGATTTTGATTTTGCTCTTTTCCCTCCAGACTTATCTGTTTGTTTCTGATCCTTTTCTGTGGGTCCCCACTGGAAGATGCTTTAGACTTGTGACAGGCTTTGGGGCCTTGCTCCGGGCCAATCCTGCTTGGATGGACTCTTACCCACGAGGGCACGGGTACCTTTGGGTGCTTGATTTAGAAACAGATTCTTTGCCTTTCCTGTATTGTTTCCTAATTGTATTAAAGTTCCTTCCCATTAGTCTCATGTTTTGTGTTGATGCAGCAGATGGCAGAACCTATTTACAGCAGGCAGTTTTGCTGGCTCTGGGCTGCCCCTCTCCCTGCCCTGTAACAAGGGGAGCAGCGGGCGAAACAGGAGAGGTCTGCTGCGCCATGTGGGTAGCTCCTTGGCAGGCCGGGGATCGAATTCTTGCTGCAGAGGCTGCGGATTGCTTCATAGTGCTGCGCTTAACCCCTTGCGCCCCCAGGGAGGCCCCCAGGGTGAGTTTCAAAGCACATTTGGCATTGCAGGGACAGGGCTGGTGGTCGTGGGCACTCCCCTCCCCGCCCCCCCAATTTAGTTTACTTTTTCACAGCGCGAGGAACTGGCCAGGGTGTCAGGCCTGCAGGGGCCCCCCTCCGCCGGCAGCTGCCTGGTGGACACCTACCCCCTCGCTTTTGTTTTCCCTTTCCACCGCACGGGGTGGGCCAGGTGGGCGCGCGGGCCCCCTGAGGCGAGCATGCGTGCGCCGGCGCGCTCCCCCGCCTGGGCACACCCCAGGCCCCCGACTGGAAGCCTGTTTACACCTGATTGCCCAACCCTCCGGGGTCAGGTGCTTTCCGGGGCGTGCTCGGGCGGGTCGGCGTGCGCGGCGGCGGCGCACCGCCCCGCTCCCATGATGCCCCGCGGCGAGGCCCGGACCTCCGCGAGGTCCGCGGGTCGCGGGGTCGGGGGCGGGGGGCGGGTCCTCTCGCCGCGCCCGCCCGGCCCCGCCCCTCGGAGGCGGCCCCGCCCCGCCGGCGGCCCCACCCCTCCGCCCTGGCCCGGCGGGCGCGGGCGCCGCCCCTCGCTCCCAGCATGCCGTGCGGCAGCGGCGGCGCGGCGGGCGGAGCCGAGAGGCGGGGAAGCCGTGGCCGTGCGAGCGTGAGCAGCCGCCGCCGTCGCCTCCTCGCCGTCCTCCTCCTGCGCCCGGGCGTCGCGCCGGGAGAGACGTCGCCCTCCCGTCCCCGGCCTCCTCCGCCCCCGCCGCGCCGCGCCCGCCTCCTCGCCCTGCGCCGCGGGCCCCGGCGGAACCCGGAACGGCCGCCCGCCGCCCCCGCCCCCCGCCGCCGCCTCCAGGGGCCGCCCCTCCGCGCCGGCCGGAGCGCAGTGTCGGCGGCCGCCGGTTCGGGCGGCGACGCGCGCTTCTCCGGGCGGCGGCGCTTGGCCATGTCGTGCCGCGGAAGGTAATGAGCCGCAGGGCCCGGGGTCTCGGCTGAGCAGCGGCGGCGGCGGCACCCGGTTCCCGCGGAGCTGGAATGACTGGCAAGCCAGGTGGGTGAGGCGCCGCCCGGCGCCGCGGAGGCGCGGCCTAGGCCCGGCGGGCGCGGCTTCCTGGGTCCGCGCCGGGGGAGGCCTCGGGCCTAGACGCCGCCGCCCGGTGCAGCGGGCCCGGCGCCCCGCGGGGCGAGGACGGCCCGGCCGGGGGCCCCGCGGCCGCCTCCCCCCGAGTTGGGGCCGGAGTTGGTGGACGCGGAGCCCCAGCGGCCCGCGGCCGCTCGGGCTCCGCGGGAAAGACCCGGGCGGCGGCCCCGGGGGGACCCACGTGCCGTTGTTGGAAAAGGCACCCCCGGGCGGGGCGGGGGAGCCCTCAGGACCTCGCTGTGCCTGCGGGCGGGCCCGGGCGGGCGCGGGGGAGCGGTGGTGTGCGCGCCGCGCCTCCCGCCCCGGCCCCGCCGAGGGAAGTTTCCAGCGCAGGTGCAGGTGCAATGTCGGGGTGCGGGGGGGCGGGTCGCGCCCCGGCCCCGCGTGGGCACTCGCTTGGGGGCGCGGGGCGCTGCCTCCTGCGGGGGGATTGGGTCTCCCGTCGGGGCCTGGCTGGGGAGAGTGTGTGTTCGGGCGCCTCAACTTCATCTTGGGTGTGTGTGTTTCTGGCTCATCGTGGGGCAGGTATGCCTCACGCAGGGTCTTGCCTCTTGCTGTGTAAGTGCGTGTAAGAATTCAGACTCGCTGCAGTTCAGCCCAGCGCCTAGGAGAGCCGCCTCGTTGCAGGTAATGTTTCGGGGTAGTTGAATCATGGGGCGCTCACACTCTGAACAAGCACATTTGCGTTATGGTTATCCAGGTGCTGGTCCCATAAATGCGAGACACAGTGCGGTTGAAAGAACTTTTGTCTCCTGGTGGTCCCGTGTAATTTGGCAGGGTTTGGAAAGTCGTTCGACAAGGTGTTAGAATGTAATGTTTTAAGGCCATGGGAAAAGCAAAATAATCTTTTGACTAATGGGTGGGACGCATCTTTTTTTGGGAATACCTCTCCCCAGATCCTGTGTCCGATGCATGTTACTAGGTGACTTTAAAAGTTAATGCCCGCATCTAGAATGGAGACGCTAAGTAGTTTGAAAACCATCGCTTTACTTTGGTCCTTGATCACTCGGAGTTGGCGAGTGCTCTCAATAAAATCAGTTTGACTAGTTTAAGTAGTTGTGTCTATAATTGATCATTGTTTTGCACTTACACTGAAATGTATGACGTTGAGAAACTTTCCATCTAACAATTAGGTGATAAATGAGATGAATTTGACATTTAAGAGTCTTATTATTTTTCACTATTGTGGTCAATATATGTAACAGAATTTAGTGTCCTTCAGGAGGAGGAAAGAAAGTTCCTTCTCAAGTAGTCCTAGAGCTTTTGGAAAAGAAATTGTAGCTTGCAGTTCTAAATAAATGGAGTAACAGAGTTGCAGCCACATGCTGGGGTCACCTGACTCTGTGGCAGGTATGGTGGAATGCCGTGTGTAGTTGTGGAATATGTACTTGGATGTTAATGCTCGTGTTTTCTTTCTAGTGCTTTCTTTCTTTCTTGGGTGTGGGGAATTGGGGGAAGGCTGTAAGCTTTCTGTGAGGCTGTGCTCTGTAACAAAGTCTCAGAATTTACAGCACAGGTAGCCAGATACTGTGGGCTGTGCTTGGTTACAAGGAGTAACAGGTTAGGATGTTGGAAATAACTTGACTTTTTTATAGAGAAGGAAATGGGGAAGTATGGACAATAACTATAGCATAACTAGATTTGTTTGCAAGGTCATGTAGTTGTTAAATTGCAAATAAAAAACTTAAGATGTTTGCCAAGTCATACATTTTCATAAATTAAATTTGAGGTTGTTATTCTGTCCCCGCTTCACTTCAGAAAGGTGATAGACTCCACTTAACTGACAGAATGAAAGTTGATTTCCCCCCTTGTTCAACTGGGGGCTTGTTTCTCTGAGCATCTTCATATGCAGGTCGATTACTATGGTTTGCCTGACTCGTTTTGATTAAAAAAAAATTCTTTGCCTTTCTGTACTATTTATTGTCTTTTTTTTCGTTCTATTTTTCTAGATTCGTGCTTTGAAAAAGTGGGACTTAGAACTATTCTTGGCAATTTTAGTGTCACTTTGTCATTTAGTTTAGACATTTCCTGTTGAGTTGATCATGGTCACACATGATGTAGTTCACATATATTGACAGGAAGTGTTCCAGGTGGCTGAATATGGCAGCGGGAGCAGACCCACCTTTGCTGGAAGCGTACCTTTAGCAAAATGTATATAGCACTGTCAGCTGTGCTCTCGGTTAACATTTAAGAAAAGTTAGGCAAAAATTAGCTTTGTATTTTGGGATGTAATCTTGCAGTTGTACCATTCCCAGATAGAGATTAAAATGGTTTGCTTTAAAATTCAATTCAGGGCCTCCCCGGTGGCGCAGCGGTTGAGCGCTGGGTTGCGAAGCTGCCTGCGGCCTCTGCGGCGCCAGTTCGATCCCCGGCTGCTCCCCGGCCACCGGAGGAGGGTCCCACATGGCGCGCAGACCTCTCCTGCCGCCCGCTGCTCCCCTCAGCAGTGTACTTCGGTCCTTCTGCCTGCTCTGCTCCCCGCTCTGGCTCTGGTGAATTCTCTCACCCTCCCGCGCTTCTGTCTGTACCCAGTGCATGTATAAACAAAACAAACAAACCAGCAAACAAATAAATAAAGCATGCCTCTAAAAAAAAAAAAAAAAAAAAAAAAAAAAAAAAAAAAAAAATTCAATTCAATGTATAATTATTGTATATTTTAATATTTCAAAGTGGCATGATTACTTTGACATTGGAGTAAAAATACAGGTTAGTTCAGCAAACAAAAGGAAGCACCTGGGTCCACAGAAAAGATTTAGCTTAAGCACTTGGGAGTTTAGGACTTCATTTGTTTAACAGATACCTGTTAGGCTCTTACTATGTCCAAACTTAAGGTCTTTCTACAATTCAAAGGATGAAACTGTATCAGAAATAGTTTCCATTTTTGGTAAAAAGTAGACAATAATTTCTCAAAAGTATATGAACCTTTATCCTCTCGTCATAGACAAGGAAGAGTGCGGTGAAGGCAGAAAAGCTAGAATCTACTATGTCTGATATTGTAAGAATCTGGATTTTCAAAATTTACAGTTATCTATTTAGCCTTTTCTGAATCTGTAGTGTCTCATGTCCATAGGGACATAATATAGTAAAATATACATGAAGGATAAAGTTACAAATTTTATAACTGTGAAAAGAACTTCAATTAAGTTGAATTTAGTGATTACTAATTCTGTACCCGAAAGATCTCCAAGTACAGTGAGGTTTTTTTTTTTTCCCATTTAATTGCATGTGAGTGTATAATTTGGGGGGAATGTTTATTTTTTCCATTATAAAATAGACCATCCCTAATGAAACATTTGGTAATTCTAAAAGGATTCTAAATTGAATTTAAAAAAAAAGATTTATTTATTTATGCATACAAGAACTGGGGTACAGGCCAGAGGTGCGAGGGGTGAGAGGATTCACCAGAGACAGAGTGGGGAGCAGAACAGGCAGATCTATTGAAATACACTGCGGAGGGGAGCAGCAGGGAGACAGGAGAGGTCTGCCGCACCACGTGGGTCAGCTCCCTGGCTGGGAAGGGAACAGTGGCTGCTGATATCTTGGTAGTGCTGAGATTTAACCCCTTGCCCCCCTAGGGAGGCCCTGTGTGTGTGTGTGTGTGTGTGTTTTAAATGGGAGGTGATAAAATATTTTAATTCAGTGAAATTGAATTATGCCCAATGTGGGAGATATTGGTGCTTTTGGGGTTTTTGTAACAGAGCCACTATCTTTAAGGAAGTTTTAGATTAGTGTGGAAGATAAGAAAAGGCTTTGTGTTATAAATCAGTGTTATTTCAATTAAAAGAAGAGCTTTGTAAAATGTAAAGTATTATAAGCATGTTAATTGTGATATAGTTCTTGGTGTAATTGTTCTTCTATGTGATTAACAGTTTAAAACCTGGAGAGTTCTAGGAGGGAACACTATACGAGTAGGGGGCAATGGGGTTGTGAAATTGATCTGTGCTATTTTCACAATAATTTTTTTAAAAACTATTTATTTATTTATTTATACAAGCACTGGATACAGTCAGAAGCGCGGGAGGGTGAGAGAATTCACCAGAGCCAGAGCAGGGAACAGAACAGGCAGATGGACAAAATACATTGCTTAGGGGAGCAGCAGGCATGGCAGGAGAGGTCTGCGCACCATGTGGGACCCTTGCTGGTGGCCCCGAATCGAACCTGCGCTGTAGAGGCTGCAGGCAGCTTTGCAACCCAGTGCTCAACCGCTGCGCCACCAGGGGAGGCCCTATTTTCACAATAAATTTGAGGGGTGGACCTCCCCGGTGGCGTAGCGGTTGAGCACTGGGTTGCGAAGCTGCCCGCAGCCTCTGCAGCGCAGGTTCAACCCGGCCACCGGAGGAGGGTCCCGCATGGCACGCAGACCTCTCCTGCCGCCCGCTGCTCCCCTCAGCGGTGTACTTCGGTCCTTCTGCCTGCTCTGCTCCCCGCTCTGGCTCTGGTGAATTCTCTCACCCTCTTGCGCTTCTGACTGTACCCAGTGCTTGTATAAATAATTAAATAAATCTTTAAAAAAAAAAAAACAAAGGAGGGCCTCCCCGGTGGTGCAGCAGTTGAGCGCTGGCTTGCGAAGCTGCCCGCAGCCTCTGCAGCGCTGGTTCGATCCCCGGCAGCTCCCCGGCCACCGGAGGAGGGTCCCACATGGCGCGCAGACCTCTCCTGCCGCCCGCTGCTCCCCTCAGCAGTGTACTTCGGTCCTTCTGCCTGCTCTGCTCCCCGCTCTGGCTCTATTGGGTTCTCTCACCCTCCCGCGCTTCTGACTGTACCCAGTGCATGTATAAATAAATAAATAAATCTTTAAAAAAAAAACAAAGGAAAGTGGGGAGATGGCAAAATGCAAATTGATAATTCCCAGTTTGGTTAGAAGGATGTGGTACTTGCGAGGGGTGTCACAAATAAGAGATAAGCTCAGCACTATATTGGTGCTGTTTGTAGGCTTCAAATGATAATTTGTGTGTTTGGAATGATTTTAGGGAAACATTGAACTTTTACAGTAGGAAAGTAGTAGCATAATTTAGGAAAATTAAAGTTTGTTGTGGATGTAACCAAATTAGTCGACAGTTAGAACAGTCTAAGACTGCTAAAGACCTGAATATTCTGTTTATAACTCATGATTTAAATTCAGAGTATTCAGCCCACTATGTGGGAATTTCCTTAAGCGAAAGCCCCTCCTGTATTGGATTGTCAGAAAATTCATGACTTTTTTTTTCCCCCAACAACCCAATATTACCTTATGTTGAGGATGACCACTCAAGTGATAATCTAGTCACAGCAGTTCACTTACATTATATAGAACAGTTGCACATTTAAAATGGAGTGTGTTTTGGGTGTTTTGGGAATTCTAAATTCTCACAACTTTTGATTTAAGGAGTTTCCTTCATTCATGGCATGTTATGTGTGTTATACAGTAGGCACTTTCACCTGCCTTTCTTTCCCTGTTCAGATCACCTCAAATAAGTCCCTGAGGCTCCTTTTCATTGGACTTCCCTTTA